GACAGCACTCACTTTCCCTTCCTCCCTGCCAAGCACTCCTCATAGCTCTACCCTCTTGGGTTTCCCCCTCTTCAAGCCTCTGCAAGTTTTGAATGCCCTGTCCCTCCTGAAACACCTTGTAAGAGCAAAGTCGTAATGGCTCAGACCAAAAAAGGTCCATCTGTCCCATCACGCACTCTCTAACAGTCCTAAGATTGGCACATCCTTTTAACGGGTAATACTGCCTCTGTTCCCCACAACTAGCTGAAGTTCAGTGGTGTAAACTCACTCCCTGTTAAGTACTATGCTTACAGAAATACTATCATCAGTATTTCACTTATTACTGTAATTATTTCAGATAATTACAATTTGGGTATTACAGACCAAGGAGGTACTAATTGTTTTGGTTTTTTTCTACAAAGACTTTAGGGTTTGGGTTTTGTTACTTTTTTTCAACAGAAAGTAGAGATGCTCCATTTCAGTCTTTCTTGAAGCTTCGGAAAAAAATATGCAGGACATCTTTAATGTCTCAATTCTTTAACCTTTCCTTAATCTTTCTCCCATTTATTGCCTGCTCTTTTTCTTCTATCTTGAGTTCACACTTGATGCTACTTTTATCTACCAAAATAACTGAAACGCATGTGAGTTTGTCAGGAATTACATTTGTCATCCTGTGCTGTAAATTAAAAGTAGATATGCCAACAGCTTTGGGCTTTTTGCTCAAAATCTGATAAACCTGAAAATATGTTTATTTTATGACACAGTATATTCCAAGCTGAAATCTTTCCCCATTAGTCACTTACTTCAGACAGCTGAATCATCTCTGCTACTCAATGCCAGCCTCAGAATTCAGTTACCCTCTGCAGAAGAGGACTTACTCCAGGCTTAAACCTTATGCAACACAGCATGGATTTTTGGTAGGGGTGAAACTATTTTTCCACTTGATTTCACAACACTCAATTTCAATATACAATTTAATAAGGCACCTGAGAGAGGACAGGAAAAGATAAATACCTTGCCTCAACACACATCCCCCCCAGCTTCCAAGACAACCATAGAAAACTGTTTCTTGCAATTCAAAATGGTTTTAAATGAAAGCCAGCAAGCAGAAAACGCATGAAACATCTACAGATCTTTTAACAACCCAAGATTTTAAAAGCCTCATGTGTTACTCAGCTATCAACAGATACAAAACTATGTAAAATAAAGACAATTCATTGAATTTTCAGGAGTGACTGACATGACCTCAGAGCCTATGTTCAGTCCCATATTTAAATGGGGTAAGTTGTTTGGCTTCTGGATTTCACTGCAGGTGTAAAACAGCTAGACTCTACAGGACTTTTCTGTGCCATGCCAATAAAGGTTTCAGAAGCATTTAAGTCACTTAAGAGACTGAACCAGGTTCTTAAGAGTTAACTGTAAACCCTGTCTTACTGTTAATACTGAAGGCATCAGCACAGGGCTTTTCCTCTCTCAGAACATGTACTTCCTGAGGTCACACCTGAAGCTGGGTCTCAAATCTTACTGTTACTTCTGAAGCTGGAGAGCATTATTTGCTGAAGCATCAGCAGTTTGGCATTACAGGGAAGTAATCCCCCCGGACTGTTGCCTACTGTGACTGGATGGGCCATGGCTAATCTTCAGCTTTAAGATATTTGGGGCGGGACTTGCACTTGACCTACATGAGGTGACAATCTCTGCATCTGAAAGACCATCCTTCTGTCTCAGCATTCAGGATTGCCCAAGAAGCTTCAGCAACGCAGACCATGAACTACCCATCAGTCCTGTCCTGATGCTGCATACGCATCATTTATGCAAATATGAATAAAATCATGTCCTATCCAACACACTTCTGTGATTGTCATTCTCTACCTTAGATCTACCAGTTTGCAACCAATTCTATTGTAAAATGTTGCAGCCAAACTTAGTAATTGGAGCAGAAAAAGACTATAAAACTAATCACAAAATAGAATTGACTTCTGATGAACATCACAAAGCAACAGTGGAAAAATCCATGGTTTGCTGAACCCACTGACAGCTCCACACTTGACTGAAACTCACTACTGAAATAATGGATCTTTGCTTGTTAAGCTGAAACAATTCCTGAGCAATACTATTTAACTGGTCCCATACCTGTACCTACAGGGAGTCCTCTAACGCCACCACCTAAGCTACTGGTCCTGTGGCAGGCACTGTTCTGATCAAATTTAATACAAGGATAAAACTGAGTAAAATGACAGTTTAATCAAATGCCTGGCAAGAAGTCATAGATTTCCTTTGCATGTGGGGAAGAGAAGGAACACTGAAGCCAACCATGTGTACCTTGCAATGATGAAAACATTTCACGGGGTTAGTGTTAAGTATGTGAACTAATGCGTGACCACCACACTAAGATCCCTTGGTGGGAAAGGTTACACTGCCCTATGCAAGGCAGACAAACACCTTGAGCAATCATTTTTTCTGTCTCCCTAGGATTGACATGAATAGTATCCAACAGGATTGAACTGCCTGTAATTAACTTTGCAGTGATTTTACTGTGCAGTGAATCTATGCAAGCTTTTACTTGAGCAGAGTGCTTAGGAGTGCTCACTCTCCTGTATGCTGTTTTAAGTTTTTAAAAGAACACTCTCAATTCCGTAAGCTTTGGGAAGAAACATTTGGTTTTCTTTTATGAAGAATCAACATCTTTGCCCCTACCACATTAACTCACCACGATCAAAGGTGCAAGTCAGCCAACAGTTACATCTGCTACCCAAATACTCAAAAGCCGATGCTAAACCCATCCTTAGCTATATGGCAGCTTGATACGCACTGCCAGAGCCACAATGCTCACAAACCCACAGCCAACCTGCCATTTCCATGGTGGTTGTAATGTTTCTTTTTAGGCTCACAACCTATCACACTAATACAAAACTAGCCAACAAAGCCCATCTGTAGTATGCTTCCTCAAATTCTTCAACCATTTGAAGATGTGCTGCACTCACCCTAAGCCTACCCAGTTGTAGCCTCTTTTCTCACCAGTGTCTTGGGAAACGAGAGGCACGAAGGCTAGATGGAGTCCCAGACAGTCACATCACTGTTAACTTAACAGTGCTTTGTGATTTGGACAGCAAGAAACATCCCCAGACTGTCAGGTTCTCGTACACATGATGAAAACATGGATCTTCTGCCACTACTAAGGTTAGGGAAACATCATGATCTGCCAATTCACATATAAATGATGGAAAAAATGCCATTTTCTGTGGCAAGGAAGGACAGAGGAAACTGGGGTTGTGCAACCCCTACCTACCTGATTGCATGGGGGAGCACGTAAGATTATTGTCAAGGCATACGTAAATCAAAAATCTGTGTAGCAGTACATAGATAGATACGGACATGTCTATTCTGGAAACTATTAAAAGCTTTTGTTACAAATTCTCCAAGGCAAGAAGGCTGTTCAAGAAACAAGGAGTAATCCAGAGTTCCCAATGCCCAAAGAGCTACCTGTACTTATTTCCACATCAGGAAAAAAGGCAGGCAGCTCTGAAGGGGTTGGCTGAACTATGACTTGGTAGCAACATCTACTCCAGGAAAACAGCTTCTACCTCTAAGGGCAGGATTCTCTCGCAAATCCTTCATCATGATCTGCTTTCACTGCTTCATGCTAGTTTAGCAAACCCTAAACTTGCTCTTCAGCATAATGGTCAGTAACTACCAACACTGGCTGGCAATGTTTACTTGCTCCATCAACCCCCTTTTCCTCCGATGCCCAGCTTGAATTGCATTTCTGCAAACCCCACTAAACCCACCAGGACTGCCAGAAGACCATGCAGCATCAGTGAGCACACAGGAGCAGCAGGAATACAGAAGAGCTGCAAAAAAAACCTGACTACGGAGCAAAGCAGGGGAACTGGTATCCCGGAGCATGCCACAGTAATAATCCATTAGGTGGTGAACAGAAAGCACACAGATACTCTGTTCAGCTCTGCACATCTGCTGCTGACACAGCCACATATTTGCCAGGTACATCACCTAGTGAAAATGTGAGTGAAGAGCCCTATTACTGTTAATATGCCATGAAGTATTTGCTGGTAAACTTCCTACTACAACACAAGTCCTTAATAACAGCTATCTTCCCTGTGACCCAACTTTTAATCACCATTTTTACGACACAGTACAATTAAAAATCCCACAAGACGATCCACCATAGCTGACTCAGTACTCAAAACATGGGGGTCAGGGTCCTAACCAAAGCTTTTGTGTTCTGTTTTCTGAGAAACAAATACAAAGCCCAGGTCTGATGGGCACTGTTACATACAAGCCTATCCTACCCACTCTGTATGTGAGATGCAGCCTTTAACAGTCTGGACATTGTAAAAACAAAGTTCCAAAAATTAGGTTTACTTCTAGACTTAATTCTCTGCTAAGAAAACAGAAGCAAAGTGGGATGAAGTCAGATTCCACCACTGATCTGCAGTCTTAACAAATCACTGAAATGCATTTGGAAGGAACTTGCTCGTTTCTGTAAGGGTCAGATGGGCCAAACCATCATGATCAGCTCACATGCAAATTCACCCATCCATTTCCAATAATGCTTTTGCAACTGGGCAATACAGAGTTCATGAAACTTCAGCTCTTGCTCTTCTGGGCAGAGAGGGTTGGACTTGATATGAAAATACTATGCAGCTAACAGTGGATTCAACTAATTCAACAGCACAATTTATGATGCAATTTCTGTTTCTGTGCCTCTGGATACAAAAACTGCAAACCTTAATCCATGGTTGAGTAACAAACACAAATACCACAGACCAACGTTCTATACAGTTACGTGAACTACGACATTATAGACCTGTTTCAAAGAAATGTCTTAGAAATGCACTGATAAATACAAACAAGTCCATTGTGCCCAGAAGTTTCCTAACATTCTTTTATTAAAAACAAAAGAGCCAAAGATTGCCCTGATGCTCTTCATTATTATAAAGCAGACTCTGAAGTATTAAGTGAACTACATATGAGCAAAGAACTCATGCAGAGTTTAAAACTAGGTTTACAGTTTCCTATTTTATTGACATGGATGTATTTCTAAACTTAAAAACCCTTCTGGCAAGTTATCTCAATTTCTTATGACAAAATTTCTCACAACACACAAATATTTACAACATATACATATTTTTTTCAGTCTTTTACAACTGGTTCTTAAAAGACAAACAATTTATAGGTTACCACAGAACAAAAGCTGTGACTTAGTTGTTTTTAATTTCATAAAACTATCATAAGTTAAAGTGAATAGATTTTCTTTAAATTCCTTGTAGCATTTTACAAGTGCAACAGAAAAATATGAAGAACCAATCCAGGATAGCTGCAGTTCATTGGATAAATGTTGCCCATTGTAATCACATTATTTCACAGCAAATTCTTGAAAAAATAAGCACCAATCATTCTTGCAAAGAACAATTTTTATCTAAAAGTATTGAAAAGTGTTAAATACAAGGTGTTTAATTTACAGAACAAGCAATAAATACGCCATATCCAAACTTTTATTCTGCATACTGCTACCCTCGTACATATAATGTACTAAAAAGTCAGCAAATTGTCAACATCTTTTTGTTTCTTTTTTCTTTTTTTCCTTTTTTTTTTTTTTTTTTAAGAAATCAATTTGACTTCCAACCAACGGTTTGCTACTATAACGAAGGCCACAAATAGTACATCTGGGACAGCATACAGTGTTAAAACTGACAAACTCCAAGGGGGGGAAAGAAACATCTAGCAAATAAAATGAAAAGCTGTAGGTAACTGCTGGTGATATAAACATATACTAGAAAACCTTAATATGCTGCTACTATGATTTTTTAAATTGTTTAGTCAAATACTGTAAGAGCAAACTAATGCTCTTACTGATCAAAAATAATTACGTAGCCACACTGTATTCTCATTGTCCTGCATGGAAAGATTTGATGCAATTTCTTCACTTTGCTTGAGCCTTTATTTTACAACAGAGCATTACCTCTAACTCAGAATTGCACATAAGAAGGCTATTAAAAAGTACAATAAAAATCTGCACAAATCAGACTTCAGAGTCAGTATGCTGTACACTTTCTACAGTATTACGCTGATAGGTGAATAAACAACAGAGAAGTGCTGCCACTAAATTTTTCAGAAAGTTCTTCAGTTGAGGAATAATCAAATGGAATTTTTGTTGTGGTTTTTTTTTTTTCCGTTATTGTTTTTACTTTTGGGATTTTTGTTTGCCTTTTTTTGATTTTTATTCTTTTTTTATAAAAAGGACATCCAGGTCAGTTTAAGACCTATAAGCTTATGCATTGAGCCTTAAAGACTGATCCTCTCTCCTCCTGGAAGAAATATCAATATCTATTGAATCCTTGCCAACAATAAGCCTTAATCTCTTCGCTGGAGGAAGAGGAATAAAGTCATCAAATTCATCATCATAGTCATCTTCCTCTTCATCATCCTCTTCTGATGAAGATTCATCTGCTGTTTCCTCTTCATAGTGACCATAATCATCTACTTCCATCCTTGACTCCAAAAGGGAGAGAGTTTCACTACAACACACACCATTTTCATGAAGGTCCTCAGGGTATGTCCCTATGTTTTCCTCCTCTCTTTTTAGCTGTATTTTTAATTTTGTTGAACTATTGCCTGATCCTGAGTTAAACCCATTATTTAGCTTTGCTACATATAAATTGTTATCTTTTTCATGGTCTTTACTTAATTTGATGCTTATTTTTGAGGAATTCATTCCGTCACTTTCTTGATCATTTGCCTTGCTGCTGCTATCGTGGCGTCTACGAAGAGTCAGTTTAGGGATCCCAGAGCTATTTTCAAGGATAAGTTGTGCATCATACCTCGTGATACGTCTTTTCTTTTTACTTTTTGCAGTTCTAAAGCTGTCTTTTGCTTTAAAATTGTCAGATGTTACAACAGAGCAGCCACCAGACCCAGGGACACAGTCTTTATAGCCTACAGGTGTGTCCGCCACGTTATTTCTCTCTCCGAGCTCTGAATGAGAACTAATCAAATCAGGTACTTCATCTTTAACAGGTGTATTGTGCATAGTATCAGTTTCTTCTGTTTTTGCAGATGGTTTCACAAGTTTTCCTTGTCGAGATTTCTTTTTTGTCACGCCTGCATCATTTTTCTGGCACCTAATCTCCCCTTTATGTGACGGTCCATGAGCCACATCATTTTCATTTAGCACACAAGACTGCTGCTCTAAAACATCCGATTGCGTTCCAGTCAAGTTATTCTTATAGCTATCCAACATATTTGGTTCAAGCTTTATGTCAGAGGTCTCCTTCAAATTCATCCTTGTTCTCACCGACCTCCTTGTTATGTATGTGCAGGGTGGTATATCACCATGCTCATGAGCACCTTTCACAGAATTCAGTTTATGTTCTCTTGCTGCATGCCTTGTTAAGCAGCCACTAGAGACTGCAACTTTGACTGGTCCCTCCAATTCTTTATCCTTCTTAATGGGCAAGTTTTTGTACAAAACTACTTTAGGCTCTTTGAGAACCAAATTTCCCATTTCGAGCTTTCTAGAAGCATTCTTTTGCTCTGGCCTTTTGCACTGATTTCTCAACTTTATCTTTGAAAGTAAAGGCTTTGCAGGCTTTTTCAGTCTCTTTGGTACCCTGGAATTATTTACATGAGTTAGTTTAGATGAGGTAGAATTTGATGATGCTGGAATTCTTGATATAGACTGTCTCGTTAATGTTCTATTTTTGCTGTTCTTTTTTACACCAATTGAAGATTTTCTGTTAGCTGCAAAAGAAAAGAAAGTTTTGTTATGACACTGCTTTATCCTGAGCTTCCCACTCCCAAATACTGTAGTTGTTTTAAACGCTTCATCAAAATCTACAAGAACAGGCTAGACAGTATGAAGCTACGAATGAGACTGCTGAACTTGCAACTCGGACATTAAAGGAACTGGCAAACAAGTCAAAAGTTCCAAGACAAGATCAATGTTCTAGGTACACTTCCCTCACTGCCCCAATATACCAAATTTACCACATCACCCAAACGCACCAAACAACTTCTTCTCCATCCCACATTATCTGCACTTTTATCAAGTATTATTCCAGCAAAATCTGAGAATCAGCATGCTCCAGTGCTAACCCCAGATTTTTTTTCCTACAGAGGGAGGGATAAAAACCCCAAACCTTAACTACTGTAATAGTTTCAGTTTTAAGTATCCAGTTATCTGTCACCTACTGTGGTAGGCAAGGCAGTTTTGTCTGCCCAAGCAAAGCTGCAACTCTAAAGCTTTGTAATTAGAGATCATAAGAGGGTTTGAGGGAAGGGGGTGGGGTGGGGCAGTGTGTTAATTGTTGGGTTCTGTTTTGGTTTTTGTTTTGGAAGCAAACAGGGGCCACATGGAATCATATTTCATGGGGCTCCACACTTGTTTGCTAGTTAAGTCATTTTGATTTTACCTATACCAAGGGTGGTGGGAATGGGGAAGGAAGGAAAGTAAATAAACAATGCTCACTACTCAGTGAAGTCTGTCAGCAATATCACAAACAAAAACAGGTCCAATTTCCTCTGAGTACTTTCACTTCAGAATAGGTACCTGAACTATCAGTCCTGGATTTGTAGAGGAAATAGCTACCCAATTTAAAGGATTTCTAAAGGAACTGTAAGTTTAATAAGCTCTACTAAGATGATTTATTTTAAAACTTTTTCTACAGAATGTAGATAACTCAAACTATGTAAGCTTTCTTTCCTAAACCATACTACTACATGTGATAGCTTACCACATTTCAAAATACAAACATTACTGGTAGCACTTTAACTGACAGAAATATGACAATATTTGCTATTTAAATTGCTTTCAGATTCCTGAACAAATCACGGGTTTTAAAGACCAGTATCTGAGATGCATCTCAAATCAGAGAGGAATTCCATCACAGTGAAAGTCTTAAATGTTTTTATGAAACCTTTACCCTTGCATTCCAAGGTTTTCCTCTTACTTACTTGCATTAGCTTTTTCCTGAGTGGTGTCTGCGTCAGTGTTAGAGCTGACAGACTGGCTGTCTGAATTTTTGCTGCTGTCACCCAACTTTTTCAGTCTGTTCAATCGTTTATCTGTTTCTCTCAGTCCATATTTACTATTAATCACAGGAGTAGGTGCTGGCAATCCTACTCTTGATTTAAAAGCACCAGTTCCACGTCTACAAACAAGAAGAGGACACAATGTATTAATAACCTTAATATAAGCTTAGAACTTTCATATACCACACTTTGAATGCCAAGTATATTTGCATAAACAATACCAATAACCACTGAATTTATTAGCATTTTGTAGGCTGTTTTAGTAAGATACTGATATACTTATTTTAGTAATATGTGTAGAAAGACCTTTAATTTAATTTTTATTCTTGCAAGAAGAAAAACTGCAAAAGCAGGTCTCCCTAGCTTTATGTCTAAGTATTGTTTCACAGCCAAACTACACAGGTGAAAATGAAATATGGTAGTTCAAAACGCTACTTAAATTAGCTAACAACTTACATTTTTCCTAATTACGTAAGTTACGATGCTTGTCACTGCATCATCAAGAGTTGGAAAGTACAGAAAATAGAATAACATTATCACATACTTCCATGCTCCTTCCTAACTGAAAGACTCCAGCATGTATTTACAATGAAAGTGAAATGGCTGAGCAAACCTAGAACTTTTTCTCCTTTTAAGTAATCACGTAATAGGATTAAGAATTCCTGTACTTGCACTTCAACCACTGCTACTAGGAATCCTTTGGTACTCTTTAATAATCCAGTATGCTTGTACTTCGCAGAATTACTGAAGACAACTTCAGTTTGGATTCCAGTGTGTTGTACTGGAAGAAAATCTATCAAACTTAACCAAAAGTGCATCAAAAACTTCAGACAGGATCTCAAGCTCCGCAAGGTTGATTATGATGCTGACAACACTTGTTCTCAGATTAACTAGTATTTGTTTGATATGGGAGCATTCAGTATTATTTTGGATTCTGCAAGCTACAGGCAGCTTAAGATACTAAATTGAACTTAGCATAAGCAACAGCCACTTCAGAAATAATGGTGCTATAAACAACCACAACTGTCTTCTGACATGCTGCCTTTGGTGCCCAGTTGTCTCAGCCAGTATCAACAGCAGGCTCACCTACAAAGAGCACATGCACACATGTAAAGATATGCAAATTTTCTCGGTGATGACTTATGGAGGATTGAAAATAGAGGGAAAAATAAAAAATAAAAACGAAAAAATAAGAGTGTCAACCTTCCTATAGCTCCCAAATGTACACTACAGATTCTTAGAAGTCTAGCATTTTAACATTACAAATTAACACCCTTTACAGCATAGTCAAAATTGAGCCACTTAAAGGTATTTTTCTTGGTGGTGTACAAAGTGACAGTTGCCTCATCAATGTTGGTAAGGACTCATTTTTCCTTGCTCAACTCCCCTAAATTCAAATTTTTCATTTCTGATTGCTGTACCACAGCCTTGTGACTGAAAAGCAGATTCCTAAAGTTAGAAGTACGCAAATGCTAGCTTTAGAATACAACATTTTCATGTACTTAAAATGCAAAGATGAGAAGTTAGTGAAACTGTTCGGACATACAATGTGCTGTTTTCCTGAAAGTATGTCCATATTTCATTAAAATCAACAGAATTTGAGCAAAACCAAACATATCACTCTAAGTAACAAGAAAAGAACAACTATCATGCCCGACAACTCCCAGGACTGAAGTATGTTTTTACTAGCAGCTTTCTAGATAAGGTATGAAACTGTACCCTTCACTTGGAATGATCTACGTACACCATGTGAGCTTGGAGGTCCACACCAGAAAGTTTTCGCTTTTCTTGAAGTGCAATAATTCAGTAAAAATTAAAGTAGGATTGTTAAACTATTTATACATATGTGCACTAAGCTATTTCTCAAGATGATCACTATTTTTCCTTTAGATTTTGTTTGGTTTGTTTTTTTTTTCTCTACAGTTAGGTTGAACAGTAACAGAACTATTACAGGTTCTGTGTAGTTCTTCTTGGACCTAAGTGAAGCTCTCACAAATGATGCTGAGCCTCCATGCTCACAGTAAGCATAAGTTTCAACATGGCAAAAACCAACCAAAAATTCTTTGAACCAATTTTGTTAAGAAACTAGGCTGGGACAGCACAGGTTAAAAAGAAATGTAACAACAACTTTGCTGCTATTGTGCAATGGGCAGATATAGGCAAGTACTGACCAAACCGCAGATCTTTATGAACTGACAACCCCCAAAGTTCTAATAGCACAAGGTGAAAAACTACTTTGTGCATTCCCAGTAGAAAAAAAACTTCAGGTCAACACAGAAAATTTTAATGAAGTTTGCTTTTTCTAGTGGAAAGAAAAAAAAAAGGAGCAAAAGTTAAGGGTCAGTTGCTAAGGTCTCATAGAGGCTACAGCTGTTTTCTTTTCAATTCTATTTTATTCACTACAAATATTTTTAAGAATCTACACTTTTTTTTTAATCTCATTTTGGGCTATCTCCAGAACAAAGGATCAAAAGAGAAACAGAATGAAGGAGTTCTAAGATATGTAACCATTCAGTAACAGCATTAAGGAAAGAAGTAATTAAAAGAAGTAGCAAAGAACAATTATAAGATCTCAGTACTCATAATCAAGGAATTTAATAAAATATGTCATGAATAAGTTCAATTCCACTTGAAACTTATTTACATCAATGCATACCTTTCACAGGTGTAGCATTCGCAGTATTCGTTATTTTCTCCAAAAAACCCATCTCCGTAGTAACAAGAGATTTCTTCTCCAGGTTCAATATCTCTTAGAGCTTTCACACACGCTGTATCCCTGCCCGTCGAGACAAACTGGGGAAGGAGATAATGGGGGGTGGAAGGGGGGTGGGGGGGAGTTTATCATTATGGTTGAACAGTATCTGAATAAGAACAAAAAACACTGAAACAGGGGGGCAAAGGGGGAAGGTGAAGTAACAGAAAAAATGTGGGGTGATTTAATTTCTTGCTTACCTTACAGTTAGGTCTGCAATCTGAAAAAGGTCCAAAAGATAAAGTCAATTAACTGTTGATAAGACCTGAAACATGAATAGTTGTAGATATCTAAAGTAAGGATTCACTCTGACTTCAGTAACTATAGAATCTCAACTACATACTGGGAGTTACATTAGGACGGCACAGCACTATGCATACAAATATCTGGTTTCTGAGCTCTTTCCTGTGCAATCACAAATACTTAAGTTTCCTTCCTCTTTAAGGTAACAGGATTTATCTTAAATCCTACCTGCTTTTCCTTCAGCACACAAATGCAACAGAATCAATTACGCTTCTGTGCAAAAGGTTAAAGGCGTAAGTTCACCTAAAAATTATGCTACTACTGACTGAGTTCAGAAAGAATTAAGGTAACCCACAATATGCTCTATCAATTCAGCTGCCAGTTCCAAAGTCTCTGTGAAGGAAGAAGGCATCACTTCCTAAAGCCTTCTGTGAGTTTCCCACAGCTTTGGTTTGGGAAAACCCCAAAAGAATTTTGTTCTACAGTAACCCAGTATGCCAGATTCAGACTTTTTCTCTAAGGTCTTGTGCTGTTCAGCTCACCTGTAACAACACTTTAAAGTAAAAATGATTATGTCCTTTAACATGCTTCCTATACTTACTACTCACCATGATTGATAAATGCAGCAGGACCAAGCCACAGCTGTGCACAGTTTTTCCGTGTTGAATACATGACACTGAAGTCATTTTCGCCATGTCTCAATAGCATGTTTTCTTCCATTTCTGATAGTTCAGCAATACAGCCCACAAGTAATTCTATCTTATCATTTCGTTTCCTTTAGTGTACAAAGAGTAGCAGAAATAAGAATGCATATGCCAAAATTGCAAGGTAATTTCACATGAAGAAAAGCTGTCAGTAACAGGAAGTGTTTTGTAAACCATTTCTCAACCCCTATAAACCTCATGCTTTAATTCAGTTAGAGCCAGGATATTAGACTAAACAGACTTATCAGAAATTACATGTAAGTTTTTATGCTTCTATATAGAATTAATTACATCAATTCTGACAGACATTACCACCGCTGTTTCCACAACTTCCTGAGACTGTAAGCAAGAAACTGCAAGAGTTGATTACTTCAGCTTCTACAGTTGTTTAAACAAAAAAGCAAGATTTTTCATTTGTGCACACTCCCTCCCCATCAGCACTTAAGACACTTCCTCCAGCTGCTCTTGTCTGCATTTCCCACACTTCTTCCACTGGCCAGAAAAACACCGTATAGTGAAGATGCTTAGAATTCCGTGTCTTCTTAAAAAAGGCCCAGTAGTGACTCAAAAAAAAAAGGCCAGAATTCATGCAAGGTATCTCCTCCTTTCATGACTGGTTCTTCAGCATCAAGCTGGTCCTTGAAATAAACCACTGGGGGATGAAGGGTGGGACACACCAACAAAAGCATGATGCCTTGATGTGTGGACAGTCAATCTGCCATCACAAATACAGCATACCGGAGGCACTGAATACTTCGCCTAGGAAGAAGCACTCTCCATTACCTTGCAAGGGCTTTGTTTCCACTGCTTTTCAGAGTCGTCATTCCAAATTTTAGCCAGATTATTCTGACAGAGACGAATATGGAAATACTAAATACACATGAAGGACACAAACTAGAAGCCAAGCCTTTTTAAGTGCAAAATTCTGCCATATGAGAGAGCTGAGAACTCGTATCAGTTTGGAGCCTCAGAAGTTTTCCAGATACTAGCAGAGTTAGGAAGCAGCTCTCCTGTCTTGTGCGCTTCTCTCAGGTCATCCAAGATTTAAAGCATGTAATTATTTTTTAGCAGACCTAAATACAGAGCTTCCACCTCAAAGAATCAGCCATGGGGAGAATTCACACTGAAAAAGAAACACCCAACCCCCAACATACTCATTGTGTTGTGGTTGTGGAACTTCCAGCTACAGTTATGAAGAGCTAGAAACTGGCCTCAACCTTCTTAAAGCTTACTCTCCCACATGTACAGGCTGTGGCCCCACAGTAGCAGCATGCTTACTTGGTATGCTGCCAGCATAATGTCTAGCCAGTCCTAGCCTGCATATAATAGCATATCATCTCAAGTGTGCTGTTATGAGTATGTACTGCCACAAAGCAAAACAAATATGAATTATGGAAGGGAGAAGAGGTGGAAGGAAGTGGCAAGTTTATTTTAAAATAATCTGCATTAACCCAGGATCTGCTGGTGCTGCCACAGACACGCTTATAATGAAACTCAGATGTTTCAAAATGAGATGGGGACATACACTCGGGTTCCGACTTTGTGTTTCCAGGAGAGATTTATCTTGCACAAGCAAAACATGCAAATAACATCCCTCAGTTTCACAGAGGTGAAAAACTCATTTCCCCTACAATTATTTGTTGTATAACAAATATGATATAATGCAAGTCTTGACAAGGTTGTGTTTCTCACAGGAGGCAAACATCTCAATTATTTGACTGAAAACAAGATTAAACCCCCTTGTATACTGAAAACTGTATGCCTATGTCCAAATATATACATGAATGTCTTACAGAAGCATGTATTGTGTTAAGTACTTAGCAAAAATACACACCAAATTTAATTTCTAAGTAAAAATACAAAAATTTGTATTTCACTGGTTGCTGTTTTAATTCTGTAGCATACTTTTAGATTTCTTCTCTAGAATCTTCCAAAAATAAATCGACAGAAATAGAATGCAACAGTAAACTACATTTCTTACCATTCTTTTGTTGCAACAATTTTGGCTCCATTTTGTTCAGAAGAATACCGATTACAAGGCAGTATCTCAAACCCACTATCGGTAGCAAACATTCGTAAATAAATAAATACCTGCAATGGAAGAAAACATGTATTTTTCTGTTACAAGAAAAACAAAGAAACATAGAAAAATGAAAGTCAGTGAACTGCATTAAAAAAACCCACAAAAATAGATATTGCAATGGGATGTTGTTTGCTGAAAGGCATTTCTGATTATAAGTTTTAGCTATATTAACATTTTATGTTACACTTAGTTCTTCAGACTGACTTGCAGGAATTCTCACATGGATAACATGACTATCCAAAGAGTAAAAAAAACCCCACCCAAATAAAATAAAAAATTAAAGATGCCTCAAATGACACAAAATCATCCCAAACAATGAAAATGGGTAACTTCTGCCTAAAGTTACTGAGTAGTTGCATTCAAGGATTCTTCTCTTTAGAAGAGCTTTAAGAACCACTGAGACCTAACAATGTACAGGATCCAATTTTCTTATTTCAGTTCTGAAAAACATATTATTTCCCATGACAAATCTAAATAATGAATACAAGGATTGCTGCATAAATTCTTTTTAGTTAAAGTGCAGTTATATTACTCAAAAATAATTTGGGAAAGCAGAATTTGCTGCCCAATTTTTTCTACATTACTAAAATCTTCCAAGTAAGCCAAATTCTTTTCTCTGGATCTGAAAACAATGCACTCATTCCTGAAGCAGCTGTTTTTTTTAAAGTAATAAAAAAAAACAAACAAACCATGAATTCCTCACAACTTTGAGAATCGACAACCAATATATACTATATACAAAATGGGTTTGGGGCATGGAAAGTGAAGGAAGAACAACACTCCCCCATAAAGCCCCTATAGCCAAAACAACTGAGGCATTTTGAAGTAAAAATGCTTCTCCCTTTTTCTTTACCTTTGTCATAAAATTTGATTTATGACAGTTATAAATAAGAAAAAACAACCAACCAAGCCAACAAAACACAAAACAAACAGAAAAGGGGGTAAAAATACAACTTCCAAAGAATGAAAGGTCCTACAAACATGTCTCCCAGCAGCAGACGTTCTCTCTTCCACAGATGACTTGTGTCAACAGCAAAAGAGGAAAATGTGTTTTAAATATGTTTTCCTTTCTACATGATTATTATAAAAACATGGCAAGGTAACTAAACAAAATAAAATAAAAAAAAATTGAGGGGGGCAGGGAGCTTGCTGTGTTTTAAAAACCAAAGAAAGTTTCTATTAAAAAGCAATCAAAGAAATAACATACAGCAGTGCATTACTTCACTACTGCTCCATTCCTAGAAATTTTTACATTTTATTAGCCTTTCAACCATCTGAAAAAGCACATTAATTACAAATACACCTACATGTTCCTTGAACAACCTTTCCTGCATTTTGTTCTTGTTAAGAAAATAGTGCCGGGCCCAGTCACCTGACGTCAAGGACTTGAAGGCTTTTTCTAAGTGCTCATCTTTCTTAAAACGTTCAATCACCTCTTTTAGTTCTTCTTGCCTTCCTTTAATAGGTCGAAATCTGAAATAAAGAATAAAGCTATTCCAGTCCACTGACATTCATTTTCAACTCCTCCTCACAGTTACTTACAGTATAGAGCTCTTCTGCTAGTCATAAAAATATTTAACTCCCAAGCATACAGAAATTGACCATTAAATACTGAAATCACAGGCCCTCGTTTCCTGAAGCAATGGGAGAAGTAAAATAAAGCTAAGCATACAACTTTGGATGTTAAAACCCTCTGTCCTGCTGAGAAGCACAACTTATTTATAAAACAAGTATCTGGTAAGATTAACCTGCACAGATTATTTCTCTGCTTTCAAGCCTATTATATGGAACAAAGCACCTAAAGAACTAGTACAACGGAAGTGTTACTGTCCTTCCTAATAAATCTACTATCATTAAAAATGCATATGCAAAAATAACCAGCAAATAAACTGTGTGTTTTAAGTTTCCTAGTTAACAGTCATATCAAATGATCTATGCACAGTTCTGGCTTTTGCAGCTGGGTTGGGTGTAGTGTTTTTAAATTTAAGCCCTCTACAACCTCACGTGCTACAATATATTTTTTCTTTAGATAACCTATGGTAACACAGGTCAACTGAAAGATTAAAAAAAACAACAAATCAGAACAAAAAAAAAACCAGCAAACAAAACCCAAAGCCTTATTATATTGACAAATCCACTATATGAGTTTATGTGGAATGCAAATGTAACATTTGCATTCATATACCACACCTCTTAATGACTACGCAGGTATTGATAAATAGTAACATGCAGTATAAATACTACATCTGTAGAAGGTTGAAATTCCACAAGTCTGTGCTATCATACGATTTTTCCCCCTAAGTATCTGCTACAGGAAACAGGTAGCTGAAAAGCATGGGTAAATACAAAAATAAACTCTTGCACATTAGCTTCTTGCTGAAGCCTGAGATGTGAAGGATATTTCTTACATCTTCAAAAGGAAAAAACTGGTCAGAGAAAAAACCTATATGGCTGCAAGATGCAGGATCTCTATTTCTGAGCTGAAAAAACATCAAGAGAAAGCAGAACTTAATTGGAAATTATGTCGAAGCTCTATAAATTGCTTTTGCTGAGCACATACCCATATATACTCCATTCTGGGGTGGAGGTGGGTTGCGTGTACTTCTCAGTGTATGACACACCCCAGGGGACTCTTCAAAAAGATAAAAATTTTCTAGGGTCATGAGAAAAAGTTTTCTGCCTCTCCTTTTACAAGTCACATCTTTTGCGTACACAGCATATGACAAAAGTGTTACATAAGCTACCAGCTTTTGATTAAATCTGTAAGACTGAGTCCCATTACTTTTTGCATTAAGTATGTCACAATGTTGATTCTATTTCCTCTTACTTACCAAATGAAGTCTGTATTTGATGACCGAAGTACACAAGGGGAAATAAATTCTTTAAGTTAGTGGAAGGAACCCTCATGAACTCCCTCACCAACACCCCATATTTCAAATTAACATTCATTTGGCTTATCCTCATCTCAGAATGCTGACTGCTGCAAGTAACTTATTTTCAGATGACCAAGTAAGAAGTTGCTGCTTCTATGCCACTTGTATGAAGGAAACAACATAGCTTAAGTACTGCACATCCTAATTCTATTTCACCTTGTAAAACAGTAATCAGAAATAACTAATAACGATGATTCAATTTCCTTCATCAGAAGTAAAATGTGGTACTTATGCTCCTGATACAATAAAGACCTGCTAATAGCAGTATCACTTCCAGCAGCAGTGTACTTCATCAGTGTTCCATGCTACTGCCCCTATACGTCTCTGCATTCTCCACCTGAAAAACTTCCTTGTAATAGAACAACTAAGCAATCTTTTTGAATATAGTAAAATTTATCAGCATAAACCTGTGAACTTTCAAATAAGATACAGTAGTAATTCAGGGTGGGATAACATCTAACAATACAGCAAGAGCCAACCAAGAAATAAGATGTCCACATAGCATTGTAGTTACCTACTGTGCAACTAAGTTTCAAATCAAGTTCTTTAGTAAAGAGTATAGGTATCCCAACTCCTAACAGACAGCTGTCTCAACAAGTTGCTGAGACCTCATCATGGAAGAAAACTCCCTTCAGACTACAGATGACATGACCATCACTGGTTTTGTTCTGTAGCACAGCAAAGTCTCCCTTGACTTCCTAGTCAAATACAAAATTGTGACCTCCCAATTCTCCCCAAACCAGAAAGACTTCTCCCAGATTTGACAGTCATACTCAAAGAGCTACCTCAGACATTAAAAGAATTTAAAATGACATAGCCTGAACTGAACCTGACTAGTTTCAGAGTAAGATCTGACCTCATTTTCAGTTTCAATCAGAAACAGTTCTCCCAACAAGGACCCAACTGTACTTACATCAAAAGAAGTACAAAGTACATGAATATACACAAACAAGACAGGTCAACATTTTGTTTGCACCTTTATCTGCAAACATTAAAGGACACACCCCCACAGGATTTACAGCTAAAATTTGTCTTCAGCTATGTCTGTTCTTGCTTGGTTAAATGAATAGTTGCCCTTTCCCTTACGTTTTATATTCTATGTTGAAATGCGTTACTCACTTTAGCTAAGTGACCTCCAGGAAAAAAGACAGGTAAAAAACCTATCACATCCAAAATGGCATTAGCACCTGAGACAAGCAATGTTATGTGTTAGACATAATCATTCCTGTATATCATCAAGAAGCTTGGTCTAGGCTAGCTAAAGAAAGCAATATCCCAACTCAACCACCAGCAGAAAAAGCAAGCAAAAAATAAAAAGCAGAGCAGGTGCTAAGTTTAAACAGACACTCTCAAGACCTACATAGAAAGAATCAGCACCCTGTATTTTCTAGCAATTAGAGGCCCATCTTATAGCCCCAAAGCGATGCTCATGTTTCAGGTCTTTCACAATGTACCATCCTCAGAGGCTGACTAGATAACTACCTGACTAGCTACCTTCGGTGGCTCAGAACCTGGCCCCAACCCTTTAGAAGTCATATACGTCCATGGATCACATTCAGCTGGTGTTTCTATGGCCTCTTGTCTCAGGCATTCCACACTGGTGGTGGAATTCCTTTAAATGCCTAGCAGAAACTCATATAACATCATTCCTGAGAAGCAGAACAGTTAGTCTATGCTCAGGTCTTTAAAAGGCCAAAAAGAAGGGTGGAAACAGGAATGGGGTGAAGACGGTAAAAACCCAAAACATCACAAACTCAGATGAATGCCACGTTTAAAACTTGAAACAAGAACTGGTTTGGGGGGAGCAGGGTTCTGGGGTGTGATTTTTTTTCTTTTCTTTTTCTTTCCCTTTTCCTCCAAAGAACATAATGCCTGGCACCAAAGGGCTCAAGAATTAGTACCAAGGACCTCCTGCAGCACCTCTACCAAAACACTCTGTTGACTTTTTTTACATGGTGACAAGACAGAACTAATGAGAAAAGATAAACAGAAATCTAAACAAGCAAGAAGTGTCCATAAGTAAATGGAAAGATGCCAGGAACCAACTTCATGAAGCATTACATTTCAAGGATTCCCAAATCTGGGAAACAGAATGACACTTTGCACAGTGAGCCTGAGTTCACAGCTGTTGCTCACAGTTGTGGTTCACAGTGAGCTGTTCACAGCTCAACAGCACATATAAACTGCACTGACAGCATACAAAGCTTATGAGGTAACCCAATCTCCTCATGAAAGCTTCAGTAGTTTCAAAAGTGTATCCCCACATATACTTCAAGAGGTACCTCCTGATTTGAGATATTGAAGCAGCCAATATGCAGAGAAAGCCTTGAAGTAGTGTTCCTTGAGAATCTGAGTGCCTATTGATACATACTTCACTTCTCCCAGGAGTATCATGAAATATCAGTTTATTCATTAGTCCTTCCCAGCATTATCTACCAAAAAGCGAATTGGTTTTGAGAAATACTATTATTTTGGTGTTACAGGGCTTCCTCATTTACACACAACATTAAAAAAAAAAATAAAATAAAAAATCTGTATCTGCTGGAAGAGTCTACAGAACTGTTTTTGAGCATCACCTTGAAGAGAGCCTGAGAATATCCCACAGCTAGATTTATACATATAAACTAGGCAAAGAAGCTGGCTTTTAAGTATCATTAAAATACAAGACTAGTTCTAAAAAGAGAAATAGAGAGATAGAAAGAACACAAGAAAACCAAAAAAACCAACCAGCCAACCCAGTCTCTAAACAGAGAGTCAATTAAAATCAGAACTGTTTATCCAGACTTCTGGTTTGCTCCTATGAACAAATTCTTTATTAGAATCCCTCATGGAAGCTGAATCAGACACTCTGGTGTTTGAATCTGCTCACAGGCACAGACTCAGTGAGCCATCCTACAAACCAGCTTCAGGGATCAGGTCTCAAAGAACATGGAATCTGCTGCACAACAGTCTGTTTTTAAAAGTCAGCTAAGAATGAAAAACTTTGCTATCACAGTATCTTTAAAGAAATAGTAATACACCTTCTTCCTGACAAGCTGCACAGCAGAAACTTTTCACACTTCCCTAGGTAATACTTATTTTTCCCTAGTCAACAAGATCTAGAAAAGCAACTGCTATTTCAATTTCAAAATCAGCTAGATGATGATCTTATCCCAGTTATGGGCAAACTGAGGTGTTCTGAATAAGGAAGATGTAGGAAAATGGCTTGGGGAAGCAAAGCTCTCTCTCTCTCTCTCTCTCTGTCAAGTTTCTCTTACCTCAGGAATACTTAAAGACTCTTGAAACTCCAAGGTATAAAGCCAAAGGTCAGTGAGATGCTTGCCTATAAAGGAAGTTAAAGGAGAGTTTCTGGTAAGTTCAGAAGCACAGTACCTTGCTCAGTCTCAGTCACTGAGAGCAGTGAGTTTGAACAAAAAGGACAAACTGATCCTGTGAGAGTTCTACTACGGAACTCCACATACTGTACTGGTGGGTGATAAAAGAGTTATACTTCTAAACCTAGTTTTCAACTCCTGATTAGGGAACATCAAGAAGAATAAATTTATCAAAACATAGCATCCCATTAATCTCTTAGCAGACACTTTGTCTGGATGATACTTTTATGTAAGGGGCTATGGAAAGACACCAAGTTACTGTTCATCTAATACCAGAGATTAAGCACAACAGCTAAAACTGCAAGGCTGTTCAGCATCCAAGACAGCAAAACAACAGTTAAAACCCATCCACTTATAGTAAGTGGGAACCATTTATTTAGTTAACACACATTTTGGCTTCCGCCTTCCCCCCCCCCCCGCCCAACCCTGCAGTAGTAATATGAGTATCTTAATTAAAAGCTAGTTATATAAAAATGAACTTGTTCTGTGATCAGTATCCAGTGCTGGGATCTGTAACAACTCCATGTTCTTTAAAAGCCAGAGTTCAAACCAGCATTTTTAATGACAAGAGTAATTCAAGTTACGGACATTTCTTGAACTGAAACTTACACACACGCATGGTCAAAACTCCAATACTGCCAAGAAGAGAATTCTAACAGCCACATAATTTCACTCTCCTTAATATGGTTAGCAAATAAATCCTGTCTTTAAATAAATATGGGGGACACAAAAAAAACCCCCACACTCCACTCCTGTTTTGACACTCCACATGGTAAATTTAATTTAGCAGTTACCATGCCTACCGAATGCAAGCGACTCCATCTTTCGGAGATACAACACTTTTTATGCAAGTTAAAGGTGCAACTATAAAAAATGTGTAAGAGTAAGGTGGTGGGTGTTGGTTTGGAAGGGGTGGTGGTGGTTGTCATATTTTTGTTTACTTTTAAATCCAAAACATTCAGCAGCAGTGAAAACAGTTAGTTACAATATAATCACTGTGTGTGATTACACACAGTGAAGGAAGACAACCAGAAGTAAGCAGAAGGATGTTACTGAATTAAGTTATCGGCAAAAATAAAGAACAGGAAAAAAAGAAAAACAAATTTTAGATGTCAGAGAAGTCACAGTGATTTTGTAAAGTACACAGATACATTCTTCAGACCTCAGTAAGATCTTCATTTTGAAATAAGGTGTCGCTGCATAAGAGCTGTGTATCTCTAATGCAGTATCTTCACAGCATGATGTCACTAAAGTTGAACCATACAGTCATGTAACGTTATTTAGCAGAGGCCACATAACTTGTTCTACCTCCAAACCCTGTTCAAGATAAATACTGAGCCCTATTATTACTGTATTGAAATGAGCTAAGAGGCGCAGAAAAGTTTCAGCACAGACCCACAAATGCAAGTGATATGGAACTGCTTTGCCTTTTTTATCCTTACTGCTCAGTGATGACTTTAAGGGACAAAGAGTGATGTATGTATTAAGTTCAGAACAACTGATTGTTTACACCAAAGCCAGCAATTGCTCTTGGTGCAGTGTTTGAGAGTAAGCAGCTTCCCATACATCATCCCCAAACATCTCGTATTTGGTCCTTTAGTCTCATCAGACAAAGCCACCTGCACCAGCACACCAAACTTAAATCCTAAAGCAGATTACAAAGCATTTAACATCCTACATCACTTTGAAAGACACTGGAACTGCTCTCAGTATTTCCTAGCATGATGCTGGTGCTTTAGGGAACGAGGAAAAGATAGTGACTGGTAATTGCACCTCTATGATCATGACTATGGATTAAGTTTTAAATACTAACATATTTGTATGCAAGATAGTAAAGAATGGATTAGCCATTAAGGCATGCAACTTCAAGATTCAGCACTCAGCCTAGGGAAAAGCATCTGAGAATAAAAGCATGATAAGCAAGAATGCACTTTGCTTTTACAAGTGTCAGTTTTAATCCTTTGTGTCAGACAATCTCCAATCCAGAAAGTAACAGCCTGCAAAATCAGTTTTGTTTTACAAAAACGAAAGGGGTGCAAGACTAAGTAAATCTTATAGCCAGTATAGTCTGTCACACACACAGAAATACCACAAACAAACAAAGCCCTACAAAAAAGCAAAACCCAAACAAGCAAACAAATAAGAAACCCGAAGAACCGTGATATAACAGGATTTTTACAAAAAGGCACAAAACCTTTTAGAACAGCTGTACTTGACAAGATTATACTTACTAATATATGACGTTTTGTATTAACTGCTAACCTGCTATTTTGTTGAGGTAAGAGCTACCAATTTGATGAAAGAATGATCACAGCAACTCTATAAAGAGGGCCAGAAGTTTTGAAAACAATCTACTTTCTCTTGGAAATCCAAGAGGATAGTAAGTTAATTTTAGGTAAAGCCACTGAATAGATTTCCAGAGCTACATGTTATGCTGTCTATGAATTCCCTGGATGACAAGGAAGTATTTCAGAAGAACAATGGACAAACTTATTGGGGGATCTCATTGTAACCTTTTGAGGACTAGTTTTCAGGTGGTTCAGATATTACTGATTTGACAGTTTACAGAGCTAATAGCCCAACTCCCAAGATGAAAGGCATTCAAGAATTATGGCCCATGGAAATAAATAATCATATTCTTGTCACCACTCTACCATAAGATCACTTACGCAGTATGAAGACAATGGAAAAGAAAGACACTCTAACAATGATCTATATATTTTACTCAAAATATAGATTCCCTTCCCCCCTCCCCCCCATATACTCTGGCCAAAACAGTAAGTCTTTACAAACTCTTGAACTAAAGGAATGAATGAAGTACAGAAAGTCCTTATACAGGAGCTCATATTTTTGTATTAGTAAGTAACTTGGCATCCAGCAGTAACCTGAAGTGCAATGTCAGTAAGTGATCATAAACTTACCCTGAGCTGCTAGTTGCAAAAATACAAACAGCAAAGCAGAATAGTGGCAGTCAGATAGTCCACAGTACATCTTCAAACAAATCACAACAAGGGAACAGGAAATACTTGCTTGCCATCATAAACAGCTGTTTTATTTTAAGTGCACCTCAATACACAAACTATGTAACTAACATGACTTTATCACACTGTAGGAGAAGATGCCTAAACATAAATCCCTACTACAATAATGCATTTGATACTAGCTCTGACATTTTGAAAACAGTTTAGTCTTTTCATATTTGCTTTTCTCCTCACCTTCCCTCAAAGCCATGCAAGAACAATATATCTCAAGAGCTCTAGAAAGACTACAGCTTACTAGATGGAAGGAAGATGATCTAAGCATGACAGCCACAGTAACAAGCAGATGTCATCACTGTACCAAAAAGATGAACAAGAACTACGCTGATGCCTTTACTTTAATTCATAGCAACAACAGAAACTCCTTCAACAGGACATTATGAAAGAGGCAAGAAGATGTGTTTCTGGTAGAAGTCATAAGCCTCAGCTAAGCATTTCCCATAGTGCTCCAAGATTATTAACAATTGCCCTTCAAGACTGCCTGTAACTTCTCCAAGTCTGAGAAAGGAAGAAATACATGATGACAGCCTTCGTCTAATTTTTTGATTCAAATTATAATTTAAAAAAGTATTTTAGGTGTTGAAAACATATCAGCAGGAAACATTTCTGAAAAGGGATTCTCCAACTGCTAAACAATGAATACATCACTTTCTTAGCAAAAAGAGTTAAGAATTCACTACGTACATAACCTGTAGACTGCCACTCATGCAACAAAACAAAAGCATCTTTTGAGTGCATATATTTAGTTCAATTAACTCTGTAAATACAAAAAACACTCTGAACCAAACTGTAAGACTACCTACCCAGACCCTGTCGGGCACAATGTGCTATTGTAACCAACACCACAGACTGAACAGAAAGAACTCGAGCGTTCCTCTCACAGATGGATGCAGTGCTCTCCAGCGAAAAAGACAAATTTCTTTGTAGAAAGTCTTCACAGTTATTAGGACATCACTGCTGGAATTTCATGTGCAACTCATGCTATCACGTAATTCCAGCAACTATTTATGTTACCTGACAATGTATTAATCTAGTAGTCATTTCTGAATCGATCAGCTCATTACATACATACAAAAATCTACTTAACTGATACTCTGGTTATCTGACCACACTGCACAGGTAAGCCGCTGTTCTTCAAAAATAGCCATCACAACAGTCTGAAGGACTGAGCAGCCTGTTTTCCATTATGTGCTGCCTGAAAACTCTTTGCTCTTTTTATTGTACAACAATAAGCACATAATTCCTGTCCTTAGAAACTTAATTATTTCTATATAGCTTCCCCGTTAAGCTAGCAATGCAGATCCTATATGAAAACAAAAACTTAACAGATTTCTAAAATACATTTATAATCTGTGGCATGCCTGTAGAACAGAAATGCAGCATCTAACCCCCAAGACTGCACTGATTTTAGACCAGAAGTACTAAGACAGGTGCATAACAGTACAAAAACTGTGCGCAATTCTGGTAAGCAACATCCCAGTGTGCAAATTAATTCACCTTATACAGACATTTCCAAGTAGCAAGAATTTCAGCAAAAACTGAGCACCTGATGTACAGGAATTGTATCTTTCTTGTGATATCGTAAGACTAAGGGGGGAGGGGGAAGTGCACCCAAGCAGATAAAATAAACAGAAAACCCCCCAAACACTAAATTCTGTCATGAAATAATTAAAATAACTAATTGTATAAAACTTATGATTAGTTAACTGTTTAAGCTAGGAAACTGTGTCTATTAAACACCTATTCTACAGCACAGATACACAAGGGCTAACAAAGACCTGTGACAGTGTTACAAATGAACACTGCCACACAGCTCCAAGATCCAGTCTCACACACAATTTTAAGGCAGAAGCTACTCACAAACTGCCATTTTTTCAGAGAGTCAGAAACATGCAAGAAATTCCACAGTATTGCTCTGATTATAAAGATGATAAATTCTTTTCTAGAAAAATAAAGACAAGTTACCTAGTATTCATTTTGTGTGTCTGAAAACCTAAATAGGGGTCAAGAACCAAACTAGTTGCTAGGTCATCGTTTTCACATAGTTCCTTGGCAGACATTCCAGAGGAAGGCACATAACGACTCTGACCCTCAAATCCTGAAGCACCACTACCTGCAAATATAAGAACATAAATTAGGTATCATTTAAAGAATGTTATAAAGCCAAACTACGCTCAGGGACAGACAGCCACAGGTTTGAGACAAAAAATATAAAACAATTAAGGAAGACAATAAAATATCTGCAGACAGAAGCACAGCTAATTTTTCATTCTTGCTTTTGTTCATTTATCTAGCAGCCAATGGAGAAAGTACTTAAGAATATATTTTATAGGTGTCTTTAATTGCTTTTGTTCTCTCTTCCGCTCCCCAACCACAAGCATTTTTCCAGAGTACATTGTTCAGTCATGCTTGCCTCTAAAATTTCTGACATATAGATGTGATCAAGTCATGAAAATTTCAAAATTTTTTTCCCCAAGGTCTGAACAAAGGACTTACTCTGAATTTGTAATCAGTCCTTCATCGCAAACAAATGGCAAAAAATAAAAATTTGTGTTCATTAAAATCAGTTCATAATGACTGATATGTGACTTCATTCAAAACAGGGTTTACTTCTACATGTGCACTCATTAGAAGATAGGTTAGTAATTCAATTTATGTTATCACAGAACCCCAGAATATTTTGGTTTGGAAGAGACCTTAAAGATCATCATTCCAACCCCTTGCCATGAGCAGGGCCACCTTCCGCTATACCATGCTGCTCCAAGCCCCATCCAACCTGGCCTTGAACACTGCCACGGATGCGGCAGCCACAGCTCTCTGCACAACCTCCAAGCACGCTTGTTCTCACTTAGTGCCAATCGTGTATTTTATACTTACACCAGTTCAAAACTGACATACATCTACTTATTCTCAACTTTTAAACTGAAGAGATCAGTATTTCTGAAGCAAGTTAACATACCCAACAGATACAAACATAATTAATACTTCTGATGATAGCTACATGCTGAATGCAGACCTTCATGAATTAAGACAAGACAGAAGCTTGACTTGCAAATAGATAGATGAATCACATACAGCACAAAGCTGCAAAAATATGCACATACATCTGCCTGATCTTCTCTCAACTCCATTTTTGCCCGTCTTCGGATTCTCCTTTCCTGTATGCTGCAATTTGGTCTGATTCTGCGCATGGTCATTAGACGACCTGTTTCCACTTCTCCTGCCATTCACCACCACGTTCTTGGATTCTCCCAGCCACTTCATTCCCACAGACAATCTGACTCAGTTGCATTTAGTCACTTTTCAAAAGGCTCGGAGAAGTGGATGAATAATTTCAGTTCCAATTCCTACTGGAAGCAAAACAAACATGATTAGAACTTACTGGGAAATTGTTTCCAAGACACAGATTAAATATATACATATATATGTACGTAAAAAGAAATGCGGGATTAGGAGTGGGGAAGAGAGACTGATCTGCATTGGCATTAAGAAGAAAGGAAGGTGGCTCAATAGCACTAGTACAGTCAACTGCTGCAAATTCAGATATCCGCAGGTGAAGTACTGTCCTACAACTTACAACTGCATCTGGAAGCAAAGACGAAATTCTAAAGCTGATAAATGGCTAATGACAACTCAATTGTATGAGCTGGACTACACACACATGTATTATACAGGCATACATACACATGGATAAACACACACTCAGCTATGCGACACCAAAAAAATTAGTATTTTCAAAAACACACCCAACTGTATTTCCTCATAAATGTCTAACCTGTTTGGAACTCTGCAGCAAAGAATGATACTATACAAACATCTTCCAAGAACTAAAGACAAACACAGTTAAAAAGATTGCCAAACACACACAAGGTTTAAATGTCTACTCTACTGGACCAACAAGCTTTAACATGGCTCTTTAACAGAGCTGGAACCAAACAGACTGACTACCACAATGCAGCTGCTCTGCATACTGACAAAATTCTTTAGGAGGTTACCAGATAGAGCCTTCAAAAAACAAACCAGAGACTTAAAATTTGCTAGGGAAAGCCTATTCATTGCACTCAGCTGTGTACAGAACCAGATTATTTTCACATAGTACCTCAAAAAAAACCCCATGAAAGTCTCACACCTAGACATGTACTATACAACACCAGGCTCTTTTCTAATTCATAGAGCTTAACATCTATCAAAAAGTAAAATCAAAATCAAACCCAAACACCCCCCCCACAAAAGACACACCAAAACAACTAACCAAAGCACCAAAGTTTTCTTACTAAGCATTCCACCTGAACTTCTTTCAGAAGACAGCTACGTTGTGAAGATCTGACACTGTCACATACTTAATGACAAACTCACTCTTAAGCTTCCCTCTTTTTCCTTCTCAATCAATACATTTCACAGCTCTATACACTCTAATTAAACCCTGTTTCCCATTCTGTAACAGCTGTAAAAGAGCAGAAACTATATTAAAGACCTTCACTGAATTCAGTCCTGGTCTCTTTGCAAACCAGAACTGAGCTATATTCCATGGTGTGCTACTGCTCAAGAGCAGTACAGGTAAATGAAGTTCACCATGAAGACCAACTGCATATGTATGCAATAATTTTGAAGAAATAAAAATAAATCAATACAGTGGTGTTTCTGACAACTAACAGGTACACTTTCAGCTAGAAAAAGGTGTACTCTGCACAAATGAAGCGATCTTTCATGAGTCCAGTTTGGGGAGGGTGAGCACTACCTTTACTAACGAACTCCTGCCTAACAAATACACTAATGACAACGAAAGTACAACGGCAGCATGGCCACGGAAGAATACTCAACCATACTAAACACAGGGAAATGTTTCCTATAAACACCCTTGCTTTTGCTGCAAAATATGACAGAGACAATCCCAGAAGTCCTTCCTAAACAAAATCAAAAGGTATTTAGTGAACACTAGCAAACACTTTTGGGGAAAATCATTATTCATTTCAGTCTGGCAGCCTAATGAGCAAGAAAAGCTTTGTCTCCATCTATTGCTGCCTTTTATTTTCCAGTACAAGCCAAATGACAAACTTGAAAACTGCAAGTGTGCTTCTCCAGCCCCTGTTTCTTTTCCCAATACAAAACACTGCTTTCAAGAGATCGCATCAAAAGCCAGAAGCACACAACAGGATTCCTTTCTCAGTGGGTATCACAGTTCCTAATGCCAACATAGGAGAGCAAGAGCTGCATCACTCATCACCATCATGTGAGCTTTAATACATCTCTAGATGTGATTTGCTCTCAATACTTTCACATCAGACTTGTGCACACAAGTCCTTTAGGAATGAAGGGAGAAAAGGAAGAGATAGACACCATCTTCCAATTCATAAGGTGGGGAGGAGAGAAGAGGAATATTCTTATACCTCCACATACTTAGAAATTCCTGCTAGGGGCACTGCCATCAAATAATGTAACACCATGCATGGATCATTTATAACTTCAGCTTTATACTATTAAGTTTACTTGCACAATTACGGCTGGACAAATCAACAATATCAAGAGAAAAGGTACGTATTTCATTACTGTATGTATACAAAAAAGCAGATGATCTTTGAATTTGAAAAGCAGAGAAAAACTATGCAACTGGTTTGTCTATAGGGTCACCAGACTATAGACAATCTCACTACAACACCCCATCTGGGTAACAAAAAACCCCATACCCACTCCTAAAAAGTGTTCGAGTTTCTAAGAATACCAAAGACTGCAAAATCAAAGCTAAAAACTTGCACAGCTTTAACAAGTTATTCGAAATAGCCTCAAACCGTATTTTGGTTACCGTTTTTGACAGCTCAGACATGTTACCATTAAGCCACAATGTAAAGGGAGGTGCAGAATGCTTCTGGCTCACAAACTGTGTGAAGCTAATGGTCAGCATCACTTTAAGCAAGAATCTAATACTATACGTAACACTACAGAGTATTATTGATGATACTAAACCACAGCAAAACCAGCCATAGAACAGAGAGAGATCTTTGCAACTACAGAAGGTGACAAAAAAGAAGGTATTGGAGAGTTTACTTTCCAATAATCTCTGTAGTCAAAATTGTATCTTAAAGAGAGATCAGGTGGTCCCACAGGACTTTAGAGATACTGGAGCTGAGGCTGTAATTCCTCAACAGGATAAAACTTAGCCAGCAAGGGCCATTTCAGTCCCATCCCTACAGATACTTATTTTAGCCACCTGATTTCACAGGTGCTTTTTACTTTCTTTGCCTCTCGGGGGGGGGGGGGGGGGGGGTGGGGGGGTGGTGGTGTGTGTACTGTTCCAGTAAATTATACTACCAGGAGAAGAAAATATAATATTTTTTTTTTGTGGGTGGTTTAGTTTGGGTTTTTTTTCCAGTCAGTTCTCAGAATAAGCTCAGTAAAGAACTGGACATGGATTAATACAGTACCTGGGAGGCTGTAAGACTATTGAAACTGACTCAGGTTAAGTCCATACTGTCACAGAACTGCATCCCTAGCATGCAGATTTGTGAGAACACACATGGATCCAAAACTGACTCAAACCCAGGCTTCAACCCCACCGATAGTTCAGTCTGTACACTCCCACTCTTTCTTGTGCCAGTTCTTTTGCAGACGTGTGAGTTTTGTGTGTCCATTTGGATACCAATCCCAGTACAATGCAGGCACAGAAGCAATGGCATACCAGTACAAACAAGTGGCAGAGAAGAAATGCATACACAGAAGTCCTTCAGTAGCACCTTACTCTCATCTCTCCTTACCCTTCCTTCCTCCACCAGGAGCCCTCTCAGGATGAAGCTGAATAACTGGCTGAGCAAAGCACCCTGAAAGCTGTATGACTCCCCCAACTCACTGCAGCGAGTGCTCAGCAGGCTTTCACAAAGACAATCCAAAACCTCACTGCTTCCAGGACAAGGGAGCACCTCCTTCCTCACCCTTCCCAATTCACAGAAACGTTTCCACCAATTCTGAAGCTCAGTGGATGTCTCCATAACACAGTTTAACCTCACAGACAGGGGAGAGGGCAGGTAACCTTCTGCTGGTGACATGTGCTTAAGAAGGTTTACCAAAGCCTCCACTGGGCAAGAAGGGATGCAGCACGTGACAAGCAGCAGCAAGACCACTGAAAGGGGAACAAAAAGTCTTAGCTGTTTTAACAACCGTTTTGTGGCAGCCCCACCATGGCTAGCACAAACAGCACTACACTTGATTTAAGACTTTAAACGATAACAACACCAAAAGCAACCCTGCTGCCCCCTTGCCTGCTCATGCTCACTTCAAAGTCATCCTCTCTTTGTTCCAGCAAAGTAACTGCAGAGCCAAGCAGTGACCAAATCGGGAGCTACCAGAAAAGTCTGAATTTTGCTGGCTTGAACTGTGGTATAAGAGTGTTATGAGGTGGGGGGGTGGACACAAGTTCAGGGAAGTGGTCACGAGAACTTAAGCTGGGACTGTCCCAAATACTGTGCATTCTCAAACCACAGCTCTGGATCCACTGTTTAGCACTGAAGAATCATACCTTACACTTACTATGTTAATTTGGGCAATTGTCTGTTGCACTGAAGCGCAATGCTGTTTGAAGTGAAAAGAATTCTGGGAATTGTAGTCCTGCAACAGGATGACACTAACAGAGCAAACCAAGTATTCAGGAGCCCTGTTCAGTCACGTTACTGAGTATTCAAAGATACATCACCCCACCTACGAATTTAATATGCAATGCACTAAATAACAATCTTATTTTCCAGTTTGTGAACACAACTGGGCAGAAAGCAGAGATGTTTGTATGCATCCATTTGCCTCTAATAACAAGATATCATGATAAGCAAACAAGTAAAATCCCCTTTTTCAATCAAGTCAGTTTTTATTTCTTCACACAGTGTTACTTGCAGTGAAGAAAGCTTAAAAAATTCAAGACAAAAGTACATTTTCAATGAAAACAGAAGACGGTGCATCCATAGCTACAATGACCAGATGATGGAAATATGACATGACATTTACTTTATATTTTATCTTACTTTATCTTAACCTCATTGATTAAAACTTCCTACTATGTATTTACAGTTACATTACTAAGCACCCTGATCAGACTGCCATCTCATATGCGTCACCCTGTGCAGAATCCAACCCATCAAAAAACTACACCAAGTTATATACTTGACTGTCATACTGCCTGTGGCACAACTCAACAAAACACACGGACTTTTTCTCTGAACGAAGATATACTTTACTTCTTCCGTAAAAGCATATATTCTCCAACAGGAAATCACCAAAAAAAAGAAAAAAAAAAAAACAACCCAAAACAAACCACAAAACAAAGATGTCAGGCGTTTCGATTTAACTGCCAAGTGACCATGCGATCAGTGCGGCATGGTCACTCAAAACAGACCTCAAAAAAACCAAACTAAACTCCCTATCACGGCTCATAGCAAAGCTATTAACCCTTTAACACCACAAGTGCCACGAGCTGCTAAGTAACTAACAACTCCCTCCCCACGTCGCCCACACGCCTCCCCAAGCTCAAACTACTCGCACACCACACAGCGACGACCGGAGGGGGAAGCGGAAGCGGAGAGAGGCCGGGCCAGCCGCCACCGCCTCCAGCGCCGTGCTGCCCCCTAGGGCTCACCTCCAGCCTCACCGCCATCACACCCCAGCCCCACCGCGGCCCCCCGCCTGCCCCGGCCCCTGGGCGCGGCGGCACTGGCCGCAGGCGTCCCTCTCCCCGAGCCTCCTCTTTCACCACCGCCCCGAGGCGGCGGAGCAGGACAGCGGGCACAGCTCCTCAACATAACACCCCTTCCCGAAGCCACCTGAGGGGCACAGCCCCCGGCACCTCGGCCTCACCGCCCGGAGACGGGCTGCCCCCAGCCTCCACCCGCGCGAGTTGAGACATCCCATGTATCCCCCCCTTCAAAGACACATACTCACCTCCCGGCTGCCCTCCGCACTGGGTCCCTCGCCGCCGGCACTGCCACAGCCAACACCGGGGGAAAATGAATCATCAAAGGGAAGGGAGCGAGAGGGGAAAAAGGGGGAGGAAGGTAGGGGGGGAAGCGACGACTTGAGCGAGGGAGGGGCGGAGGTGGGGGAGAAAACGAAAGAAGGGGGAGAAAAAGCAGCGGTAGCGATAAAAAAATAATTCCGAGTGGGGGGAGGAAAAAAATGGCGGATTAAAATCCAAGATGGCGGCGCCAAGGGGCGAGCGGTGCACGGAGGAGGCGACTGGAAGGCCGCCTCGAGATCCCTCCGCCGACCCCGCAAGAAAGAGTCCCCCGGGCTCCCTCGCAGAGACCCCGCGGGGCGGCGGCGAAGACCAGACACCGTAGTCGCCGCTTCCTCCTCCTTTTCCTTCTTCTCTGCAGGGAGTCCTCTTTCCACCGGCCTGCAGAGCCAGGCGGGCCTCTGCGCCGGTCACCGCACTCTGAAGTTTCTTCTTCTCCCTGCGAAGCCTGCGACCTCTTCGCCCCGTCCGAAGAGACACCGCCTGCCCCTGCGCTGCCGGTGGCGGAGGAACACTGCCAACAGGCGCAGCTTCACTCTCGTCGCGGAAGAATACACTTCTTCAAAGGAAACACTGACGGAGACGGCAGCCGCCGCGGCCTCCTCCCCTCTCCCCCCCAACCTGCGCCGCTCCCTGCCTCCTCCCCCCGCGGCCGCTTCACACCGGTCGCACAGCAGCGGCAGGCCGCCAGCCCCCAAGCTCCTGCGCCTCCCCAGCCGAGGAGGGGTGGCGCTGAACCGCATTCCTCATGACCGCTCAGCGCGGCGCTGCGCCGCGGCGGAGGGATTTGGCTCAGAGAAAACAAGGGCCGAGCCACCCCGCGGCTCGAGCCGACCAGCCCCGTGTATCTGTGCGTGCGCGTGTGCGCGGCGAAGTAGTTCCGGTCTCTTCACGCGGTGGAGGGATCCCTCCGCCCAGAGTTGCCCTTTAAATCCGAGGGACTCCGCGGCCTGGCAGGAGTGTTTTTATTTCTTTAGTGACTGTATGTAGTCCTTGTGTCTGCTATGTGTGAGGCACTAGTTCGTCGCGCCCAGCCTAAGAGAGCGGGGCCGCACTTTCACCGCCTCAGGGAAGTCCTGGCACCTGCTCCCCTCGCCGTCGCCTGGCAGAGGCATTTAAAAATGGCCCCCTCAGCTGGTGAGGGGTCGGACCGCTGGCCCGGTGGTTCTCCAGGCTCCCGGCCACGTCCCCTCACAACACGTGTTCGCTGCCGGGTGAGGTGCGAGCACCCCGATGGAGGAGGAGGAAGAACAACGCTGCTCAGCCACCCGCCTCAGCAGATACCCCCGTCAAACAAAAGATGCCTCTGCCGGTGGCGGAGCTGACGGTGAGGGTGAGAGGCGAGGCGGGGAGTGGCCAATGTGGTACAGCCCATGGGCAGGAACGAGCTGGGTTAAATGGGTCTGTGGAAGAAGGGTAGCTGATGCAGCCTTCGAAGGTGCTTTCCAACCCAAACTGTTCTATGATTTTAATAACTGCTGAATGTTTTTATGTTCGTAGGTGTTGGGAATATCAGATGTTTTTCAGCCCAAAGTTAGGTTTTAATTATATACTTAGTATTTTGTGTTGGCCTTTATGCTTCATGTCAGCAAGATAGGCTGGTCACAGTGTGGGTTGGAAATATGCTCTCAAGTAGAAGTTTCAGTTTCTTTAAGTTTACTAGAAGTTTTTAGGATTTAAACTGGCACAGGTTGCTCAGAGAAGCTGTGGCTGCCCCATCCCTGGCAGTGTTCAAGGCCAGGTTCAACAGGGCTTTGTCCCTGCCCATGGCAGGGAGGTTGGAACTGGATGAGCTATAAAGTCCCTTCCAACCCAAACCCTTCTAGGGTTCTGTGAATTTGCCCCGTAGCATCTTTCCTCTCAACAGCTACTCACTAGGAATACCAAATCCTTTGTTTATTCATAGTAGGATGCTAAAGGTTTTTTAATAAACTATGATTTTGCATGGAACTGGCTTTAATTTTGCTTTAATTATGCAGGTGAACCAATATCTGGAAATGGCATCTGCCCCAAGAAACCAAATTGCTAGCTAAATTGATTTCCCTATAATCTGATAACAAGAAATTGCCTCTGAAGCTGAGATTTTGCATGCCCCATTGCTAAATCAGATTAACACAGACTTTAACAGTTAAATTATAAGCCTCTGAAAGACATCAAACCAGAATTAATAGCATTGCAAGCAGTGGCACTGTGATAATATTAGTAACAGCATTTGTATGTTGTTTTATAGATGCACCAGGTTGCTCTGTATATTTATGTGAATGGCTACAGTTGTCTCAGAAGTTTAGATGTTGCTAGAGTGGAACATGCTGGCTTTCATCCTGGTGGCAACGAGAGTTTCCCATAGCTCCAGCAATGGGTGGCGAGTTCTTAATGTGGTTGAAGCAGTGGGCGAAAAAAAGCCTAGCTACATCCCTACTGTTGACTCCGGCAGGTGATCTGGTGACAAAGCGTGGGCTATATCTGAAAGGATGATTTTTTTTTCTTCAGAATACATTAATCTAAAACTTACTTCCTCTGTTATTCTGGCAACAGTTGTAAAAGTTAAAGAATAAGCACTATTGCCAGTTTGATTACAGTTGGGTGTGTTATTTCTTCCATATCATAGCATTATATATACATATAGTATATATATTTGTAGTGCAATATATATAATAAAACACTTTCTATGAAAATACAAAAGTTGGGTGGTCAAACCATGGACATATCATGATGGGGTGCTCCAGGAATAAATTACTATGTTGGACAAATTTGAATGCTTGTCTTGGAAACCAGCAGATATATGGTGATTATCTCCAACTAAATATAATTTCAGAAATTTGTTATATTTTCTCTTGTGAAAGACATAGTTATAGTTTCAACATTGGTTTCACTTCCTAAATTAATACTAACATATTGGGCTTAATTTTTGCCAGAGTATGCAACGTCTCATTTTTTTTTTCTAATTAGCTACCAAGAATGAAAATAATTGAATTATTTTTTAAAGGCATAAAAATTTAATTCAGGTACATGTTATTCTATGGTGATTTTGTGACTTCTACTGGAGAGGGTTTTTCTGATACTATAAGATCAAAAGATCTTGAGCGTATGCCCGGCAATGGATGAATTTCTTTCAGTGAGCATTGTCAAGAAACAGTAGTCTCTAACTCCCAAAGTAGTATCTCTAGATTGTTACAGTTATAAAAATATGCTTTTTGCTGATTTTGTAAACATTCCCATTCTGAGAATATTAACTTCTACTTTTTCAACATCCTGTATATGCTATAATAGTACAGTCCTAATACTGCAAACACTTTTGGTCATCCAGTTTTCACTGAAAAAAATGTAGTTATTAAAATACCTATGTGGTGAGTGGTTTTGTAAAAGCCATATCTTTGAAGAAGCAAAACTTGAACTTTAGTCTTGAGTTACATGTAGAAGCTGCTGCTGCATTGCAATCTTTGGAGCTTTGTCCAGGCTTCAGGCCAAACTTCTGCCCACAGCTGCAGGGTCAGAATCCAACCCTCAGCCTTTCTGTTCAAATCCATCTCTGCAACAAAACCTTGCCATTGATAGGGAGCCAAATCCATCTTAAGCTGAAAAAGATACAGGTCTCGCTGAGCAAATGGTGTTTTTTCCCTGTATGCCCATTCTTACATTATTTGCAAATCTGACTTAAATACTGTGGTGATGGGTAATTTGGAGGACTACAAACATATAACCACAAGTGAAAAGTCCACCACCACCTTGACAGTTTACTCTGCCATGCAGGCATTTTGGGGTGGGTTATTTTGCTTACTTTTGTTCTGCAGTATCTTTACATAGACCGAGCATAAGCATTTCTGAAATGCACATCTGGGAGTGTTTATATGTCGATAACAAAGATGTTTTGTTGTGGCTCTTTAGCAGTCAGAAGGCACCTTCGTGCTGTGAAAAATTTAAAGCATGCCATGTCTTGTGCTACAATTTATGTTGGAATTTTAAACTGGATATGCTGTGCCCAAATCCCTAAGAACAGTTCTGCTGATTTTGAGAGCCTAGCAATATCACCCAGTGAAGTAGAAGCATTAGAAAAAGGAAAGAAACACAAGGAGGGAGCTGAAGTAAATCATCAGGTGTAAAGAGCTGGATCTTTCATTTATGGTAATGTTTTATCTTCTGTTTGCAGCAAGCAGATGCTCTATAGCTGTTATTTTTAGTGTTGGGAAGAAATGATGTTGTGCAAAGGGGTAACAGGTTTCACATTGCAAACAACACTTTTCTCTTGGCATGTGCACACAGAGAATTTGTTTCATTTGTCCACTGAGCAAGTAAGTATCTTCCTGTGACATCTTTGAGAGGATCAATTCCTTCCATCTGTGCAGGAGCCTGGCCTTAAGCCACTAGCCACAGTGCTTCACTCAACTTGCTGTGAGATGTACCATTGCAGCCAATGCATAGTCACCTCTGGCTGAGGTCACAAGTCAGTTTGCACTGACAATTGCAAACCCAAAGTTGAATATTACAAATGAATGTACATAGGAATAAAGTTAAAGATGTTTTCTATCAAAATCTTATTAATTTATCCAAAACATACATATTCTTATTCACAGATGGTCAATAAGTGATGATAGATGGCCTCCTCTGCATAAATTAATGGCTGTAATTCACTTGAGGGGATCTGCTGATGTCGTAAGCTGCCAGAGTGCAGCCGGAGTGATTTATTAACAACTGCAGAAATCCTAGAGTGAATTACGTCCTTGTACTCACTTAGGGTGTTCAGATTGTTATTTATACAATATGGAGGTTTGTATTTCTTCGTTATTACTGGGATCTTTCCTGTGACTCTAATACAGGGGCATGGTATAGGAATGATAAGTACAAAAGCTCAGCTCCCTGCCTGCAGTAAGGGCAGATTTTCTCCACTAATGCATATCAACAGCAACATTTTATTTTAAAAATAAACTAATCAATGTCTGCAAAGGTTTATGTAAGTCCTGTTGTGATGGTGTTTGTTTGTTTGGGTTTTTTTCCACCATCAAATACAAATAATGTCAGTATCTTCTGATGCAGGAACCTCTGTCACTTCATGTTGTAGTCACTGCCTCTGTGCATGTGAGGCTATGTCCAAACCAAAAAGATAGAAGAGGGTTGGATGGTAAACAGGACTAAGTACTAGCTCCAATAATAACTGTATTTTTCTGTTTAAAAAGAAGGCAGCAGATCCAGAAGGCTAGAAAAGGCATCTGGAAACCAAGAATTCTTTGTGTACAAGGAAGAGACTGTCAGATCTCGTAACACTATCCCTGCTCAGGGAGAAAACCCTTCCTTCATAAAATTCTTGCATGGTGAAAGGGAAAATTTTCTCAGTATGGATCCCAGGTTTATCACGCCCTTCTGACGTGATCATATACAAGCAAATGAAATAACATTAATTTCCATTCCTTTTCCCCTCTCCTCCCAAAAGAGCAGGCAATTAGGATGATATTAAATCCTGTTTCTCAAACAAGGGATACATTTCCAAAAAGTAATACAAGTTGGAGAGGAAAAGGGAGATGAGAATAAATGAAGAGTTGTGTGGCAGGAAGGAACAGTCAGAAATTATTTGCAAA